ACTTGGGAGGCTAAGGCAGGAGAATCACTTGAACCTGGGAGGCAGAGGTTGTGGTGACCCAAGATCGTGCCACTGCATTCCAGCCTGGGCAACAAGAGCAAAACTCCATCTCAAAAAAATAAAAAATAATAAAAAATAAAAATTCAGTACTTCAGTTATGATTGCCTCATTTCACATGATCAATAGCCACATGTGACTAAAGACTACTATGTTGGGTAGAGTAGATGGAGTACCTTTCTGTCACTGTATAAAGTTATATTGGACAGTGCTGTTTTATACTCTTATTTAATGGTTGCTCACATGACCTGTTACCTCAGTCTGTTTGGGCTACTATAAAATAATACCTTAATTTGGTGGCTTAGACAACAGATATTTATTTCTCACAGTTCTGGAGCTGGGGAGTCCACCAAGGTGCTGGCCCATTTAATTCCTGGCTTATAATTCATACAGTCATTGGTTTCCTAGGATTTTGTCTATAAGAATATTCCTAGAATTAGGCTATTTTACTGCAAAGTGGCCAAATGACCTTTTTCCCCTTTGTCTAATCTACTATAATCTTTCCTCACATTTCCACATGCAGTTGCTATTATTAACATACAGGAGACTCTAAGACTCCCATTCCCAGTCTAACTAAATCTCTAGATTTTGTTTGCAGTATATTTATTTATGAGTATAAATGTAATCACATTCAACATTCAGCAACACTGAGATAACTATGGTCTGTAAGAATGTTTATTTCCCTCAGATCACACAACTTTGGGGAAAATTTTGGTTATTTTTATAGAGATACTGATACTGTTCTGCTAGAGCCTCCCTTGCTTATTTCTGTCTTACCTTGTTTAGGGCATAACAACAAAGAGGGAACATACACACTCAGTTTAAGTTTGGGTACATTAATCAAACGTGACATGTGTCTACTGTATTTACAATAATACCTCTTTAAAAAAGCACAAATGATTAGCTTTTAAAATATACTTTTATTGTGAAATATAATACAAGATTTGAAAATGATTTTTAAAATTTCAATTACTGTGTTAACAATTCAATTATCTTTATGAGAGAAAGCACCACATTACAAAAATACAAAAAAGGAATCTAAAATGCACATGCTAAAATGACAATAGTAATTACATTAGCAAATCATGAAATTCAGAAGCCTTTTCTAATTACAGATCTAAATCAGGGGTCTCAAACTTAGAAGTCTTCAGGGCTGAGTAGGAACTACAAAGTAGAGAAGTTGTCTGATATAAGAGGGAAGTCCAGTAGGCTGTGGCAAACTGGAGAATGCATACCCAATCGAAAGACTTTTCAAATTCAAAAATTTTTGAAACATTATGTACATCAAATAAAACAACTGTGGGTCAAACTGGCCTACATGGACTACAAGTTTACAACTCTGGTCTAAATGAATTTATAATATTTTATGTAGTACCTAATCCTCAAAATGGCAGACAAATGGCAGACCGCCCTTCGAGATTTCTTTTTTTTTTTTTGGAGACGGAGTCTCCCTCTGTGCCCCTGGCTGGAGTGCAGTGGCCGGATCTCAGCTCACTGCAAGCTCCACCTCCCGGGTTTACGCCATTCTCCTGCCTCAGCCTCCCGAGTAGCTGGGACTACAGGCGCCCACCACCTCGCCAGGCCAGTTTTTTGTATTTTTTAGTAGAGACGGGGTTTCACCGTGTTAGCCAGGATGGTCTCGATCTCCTGACCTCGTGATCCGCCCATCTCGGCCTCCCAAAGTGCTGGGATTACAGGCTTGAGCCACCGCGCCCAGCCTCAGGATTTTTTATATATATGTATATGTATATATATGTGTATATACATACATGTATGTATATGTATATATATATTTACGTATTTGAGAATACTTAAGCCACCATTTTGGGGGGAATAGATTAAAAAATTCTAAGAAAAGTTGCAATTTGAATTCATCAACTGAGGTAGTTTTAGGGATATATATATATATATATAAAAAAAAATATATATATATATTTTTGAGAGACAGAGTTTTGCTCTTGTTGCCCAGGCTGGAGTGTAATGGCACAAACTTGGCTCACCGCAACCTCCGTCTCCCAGGTTCAAGCGATTCTCCTGGCTCAGCCTCCTGAGTAGCTGGGATTACAGGCATGTGCCACCACGCCCGGCTAATTTTTTTTTTTTAATTTTGTATTTTTAATAGAGACGGGTTTCTCCATATTGGTCAGGCTAGTCTCGAACTCCTGACCTCAGGTGGTCTGCCCACCTGGGCCTCCCAAAGTGCTGGGATTACAGGTGTGAGCCACCACACCCGGCCTAGGGATATATTTTTAATACATCTGGTTAAGAGATGAAATTTTAAAAATACTTTCTTTCACACTTTATTTGGGAAAAGTTAGTTATGCCTAAGAATTAATTAAAACTAAATCAAAATTTCATTTTTTAACAATAGAAATTCACACAACATATTACATTATTGCTTAGTAAGAAATGTTTATGTGAACAATAATAAAGTACTGGTTTTACTAAAACCATTGTTCAAAAAGCATTCAATCATATAACCTCAATATATACATAATATAAGAAAATCATAATTCAGTTGACAAGTTTTATTTAAAGAGCATTTTGTGGAAGAACTTTAGTAGATTTTATACTTTTGGTTAAAACTAAAGGTTCTCATCTGAACATGTAAAATTGCTTATCGCTCAAAGAGCTGTACAGTGTTGGCTTTTTGTGCCAAAGTAGTTTGAAAGAAGTTACTACTTTACCATCAATAACTTTACATTAATAATTTTTAAATATTTGTAAAAAATTAAGATGATAGAGGCATTAGAGGTGACAAATGAAATCTCCTTTAAAAAGACTGCAAAGGCACATTATAATTCAAATATCTTTAGTAGACTAAGAATACCTATTTAAAAATAATTCACAGACAACACAGATTTCGAACGAAACTCAAATATACCTACTGTAAAACTTCACACAATACCCCAAAATATTTTCTACTTTTTTAACATTTTAGCTGAGAGCTAGAGAAGTTTAACATAAACAGAAAGCACCAAATCTAGCCATATAATCCCCCATTTAAAAGAGTTAATAGCTATTACATAAAACTGTATTTTCTGTAAAATAAAGTTTATATGGGACAAATCAATTGCATATGTGTCTATTAAATTCTGAAATTAAAAGCCAAAGCTGTTAAGTATTTGGGTAGTTAGATGGTTAGTAATCCAGAGTAAGCATATAAAAAAAGTAATTAAAAAAAAAAATAGGCTGGGCACGGTGGCTCACACTTGTAATTCCAGCACTTTGGGAGGCCGAGATGGGCAGATCATGAGGTCAGGAGATTGAGACCACGGTGAAACCCCGTCTCTATTAAAAACATAAAAAATTAGCCGAGCGTGGAGGTGGGCGCCTGTAGTCCCAGCTGCTGAGGAGGCTGAGGCAGGACAATGGTGTGAACCTGGGAGGCGGAGCTTGCAGTGAGCCGAGATCGTGCCACTGCACTCCAGCCTGGGTGAAAAAGAGACTCTGTCTTAAAAAAAAAAAATAAATAAAATAAATAAAATGTCAGGTCGGGTGTGGTGGCTCACGCCTATAATCCCAGCACTTTGGGAGGCCAAGGCAGGTGGATCACTCGAGGTCAGGAATTTGAGACCAGGCTGGCCAACATGGTGAAACCCCGTGTCTACTAAAAATGCAAAAATTAGCCAGGCATGGTAGCAGGCACCTGTAATCTCAGCTACTCAGGTGGAGGCAGGAGAACCACTTGAACCCGGGATGCGGAGGTTGCAGTGAGCCAAGATCATGCCACTGCACTCCAGTCTGGGCCACATAGTGAGACTCTGTCTCCAAAAAAAAAAAAAAAAAAAAAGAAAAGACACAGTATCCATCAGTTAATGCAACAGGTCTTCCAATGTTTCCATTTTTGTGAATTGAAACTTTTTCAGTAGGGAGAAATAAGTTTGGCATTTTGTTTTGTTTTGGTTTGAGACTGAGTCTTGTTCTTGTCTCCCAGGCTGGAGTGCAATGGTGTGATCTCGGCTCACTGCAACTTCTGCCTCCAGGGTTCAAGCAATTCTCCTGCCTCAGCCTCCTGAGCAGTGCCTGCCACCACGCCCAGCTTTTTTTTTTTTTTTTTTTTTTTTTGAGATGCAGTTTTGCTGCTCTCTTGCCCAGGGTGGAGTGCAGTGGTGCAATCTCAGCTCACTGCAACCTCTGCCTCCTGGGTTCAACAAATTCTCTTGCCTCAGCCTCCTGAGTAGCTGGGATTACAGGCACACACCACAATGCCCCGGCTAATTGTTTTGTATTTTTAGTAGACACAGTGTTTCACCATGTTGGCCACGCTGGTCTTAGCCCGGCTAATTGTTTTGTATTTTTAGTAGAGACAGTGTTTCACCATGTTGGTCACGCTGGTCTTAAACTCTTGACCTTGTGATCCACCCGCCTCAGCCTCCCAAAGTGCTGGGATTACAGGCATGAGCCACCGCACCCGGCCTACTGGCATTTTTTTTAAACCCTAATCTTTAGTAAAGTTTTAGTCTAGAAAAGTCTAATGCATTTTATCTGCAGAACACTCATTTTGATTATTATTATTATTATTTTGAGACGGAGTTTCACTCTTGTTGCCCAGGCTGGAGTGCAATGGTGGGATCTCGGATCACTGCAACCTCTGCCTTCCGGGTTCAAGCAATTCTCCTGCCTCCCGAGTATCTGGGATCATAGGCATGCGCCACCATGCCTGGCTAAGTTTTTGTATCTGTTAGTAAAGAGGGGGTTTATATTGGTCAGGCTAGTCTTGAACTCCTGACCTCAGGTAATCCGACTGCCTCAGCCTCCCAAAGTGCTGGGATGACAGGCGTGAGCCACCACACCCTGTCACTCACTTTGATCATTAAAAGCACTTGCATTCAAGTAGAGGTACATATCAAAAAAAGAAAAAAAAAAAAAAAAAAAAAAAGAAAGCAAAGCACTTATCTATGAAGCTATCAGGATATTTTAGAATTCAAAGTTAACACTGATTTTATACATCGTAAGTATTTATTTCCACAGCAGAAAATTAGTTGAACACAAGATTATGAATTCACCATACATTCAAAAAATAAACATGTTTTTCAAATAAAGTCAATAGTGAAATGTTATAAGGGTACAAAGTAAATGCTGATATATTAAAATCTTGGTTTGATTTAGCAATTTTACTAAAACCCAGAAGAGTTTCTATGAATAAATTTATTTAATTTAATAAATTATTCATGATTAAAAATTTAGTTTTCATAGATAGTAACAACAGACTAAACATTGAGTATATGGGATTCCAATGAACAATAATAAAAATACTTTAACATTATTTACTTCAAATATTATCTTGAAATTATTCAAATGTATTCGAAGTTTATAGTTAACAGATCTGTAACAATGAATTCCAGACTACATTGATAGCGATTAGATATATTAGTGCTGTCTGCTTGTCCTTCACATGATCATAGGATGAAGCTTCCTTTTGTAAGAAACATCTTGGCCACACTGGTTACATATAATAATCCAATTAGTTAGCGTATTTATGGAGGAAGCGTTCAAATGCATCATAGATGGCTTGTCTAAAATTAAATATGAAAGAAAAACTCTAAGTAACTAACAAAAAGGGGGGACAGACAATGCCTTTACCGTAAGTTATTTCCAAATTTATCTGTGGCTTGCAACTTTACATCTTCTCTAAATAGCTATGAAACAGGCAGTTTACCCTCCTCAGAATGGGTGTTTGAATCCATGTAACTTTTTTTTGTTTTTTTGAGACGGAGTCTCACTGTGTCACCCAGGCTGGAGTGCAGTGGCGCAATCTCAGCTGACTGCAACCTCTGCCCCTCCAGGTTTAAGCAATTCTCTGCCTCAGCCTCCGGAGTAGCTGGGATTATAGGCGCATGTCACCACGCCCGGCTAATTTTTTTTGTATTTTTAGTAGAGACGGGGTTTCACCATCTTGGCCAGGCTGGTCTTGAACTCCTGACCTCGTGATCCACCTGCCTCGGCCTCCCGAAGTGCTGGGATTACAGGCATGAGCCACTGCACCCGGCCTTTTTTTTTTCTTTTGAGACAGGGTCTTGCTCTGTCGCCCAGGCTGGAGTGTAGTGGCATGATCTCTGCTCACTGCAACCTCTGCCTCCCAGTTCAAGTGATTCTCATGCCTCAGCCTTCCAAGTAGCTAAAATTACAGGCATGCACCACTACACCCTGCTAACTTTTTGTATTTTTAGTAGAGAGGGGGTTTCACCATGTTGGCCAGGCTGGTCTCGAACTCCTGGCCTCAACTGATCTGCCCACCTCAGATGCATGCAACTTTATCACCACTACTGGAAAACATCAAACATACTTCCAACTTTGATGGATCTAGAAGCATTATCTTTTTCTGAAGCACTTTTTTGTGCCTTAGAATATATATATTCATACATACATACAGGCACACACACAGTGGCATATGTGTGTGATGTGTGTGTATAAAATAAATTATGAAAGAAAAAGGGACTGATTTATCATCACTTTGTTGAAAATTAATTATGTGACTTTTCAGAATGTAAGATTCTGTTTCACAGATTATGATATAGATGCTTTTCATTTACTATGAACATGTTCCTAGCTACTTAAAATCAAAAGCCTTGGTTTCCTACATTAACTTTACCGAGTATTTTAATATTTCAATTGAAAACGAATAGACAAATTTTATCTTCCATAAGGTATTTTTTCTTTCTTTCTTTTTTTTTTTTTTTTTAAGAGAGAAATCTCACTATGTTGCCTAGGCTTGAGTGCAGTGGTTACTCTCAGGTGCAATCCTAGCACGCTGCAGCCTCAAACTCCTGGCCTCAAGCTATCTTCCCACCTCAGCCTGTTGAGATCTGGAACTATAGTCCTGTGACAACCTGCCCCACTCACAAGATATTTTTTTCTAAAGCTGTTTTTTTTTCTATTGTATAATACATTTTCATAGCAGAATATTCAGAAAATCGAAAATATAGGAAGGGGAAAACATCATAATCCCATCACTCACATCTACTGTTAATCTTTTCATATCTTTCCTCCAGGCTTTTAAGAAAATGCATGTCTAGGCCGGGCGCACTGGCTCATGCCTGTAATCCCAGCACTTTGGGAGGCCAAGGTGGGCGGATCACAAGGTCAGGAGTTTGAGACCAGCCTGGCCAACATGGTGAAACCCCATCTCTACTAAAAATACAAAAATTAGCGGGGTGTGGTGGTGGGCGCCTGTAATCCCAGCTACTTGGAAGGCTGAGGCAGGAGAATTGCTTGAGCCTGGGAGGCAGAGGATGCAGTGAGTCAAGATCACGCCACTGCACTCCAGCCTAGGTGACAAGCAAGACTCCGGCTCAAAAAAAAAAAAAAAAAAAAAAAAGAAAGAAAGAAAAAAGAAAATGCATGTCTATATTTTCATCCAGTTTAAATAATAACTATGAGATATTAATTTTGTATCCCATTTGTTCAACTAAGCATTTCCTGACATCCTAACAAAGCTATTAAGACTATCTTTGGCCAGGTGTGGTGGCTCACGCCTGTAATCCTAGCACTTCGGGAAGCCGAGACACGTGGATCACGAGGTCAGGAGATCAAGACGATCCTGGCTAACACAGTGAAACCCCGTCTCTACTAAAAATACAAAAAAAAAAAAAATTAGGCAGGTGTGGTGGCAGGCGCCTGTAGTCCCAGCTACTCGGGAGGCTGAGGCAGGAGAATGGTGTGAACCTGGGAGGTGGAGGTTGCAGTGAGAGGAGATCATGCCACTGCACTTCAGCCTGGGTGACAGACTTGAGACTCTGTCTCAAAAAAAAAAAAAAAAAAAATAGATTATTATTTCCAATATGTTGGGAAGTCATAGCTTTACAACATGCTTGTCTTTCTTTGGCTCAAGGATTCGATCCTTGTGAATTATAATGAACCATGAGAAGGGAAAAAAATTAGAGGTGGATATTTGCATGTTGGTGTAAACACATAAAGAGATTTTGTTTTGAAGATAGATATGACAGCAATAGGGGAGAAGTAAAGAGGACTTTGAAATTATTGCCCACTGGATAATTTTTTTCCTCAGAGTTAGTTCCAGGCACTTGCTTTTGTGGAATGAATCTGAATTTGTTTACTTCCTGGTGCCTAAAGTTACAATACAGGCTTGTGTACATGTGAGAAGGGTTAGGAAAGGTACATGTCCCTTTTTAATCATTTAAATAGCCTCTTATTCACTTGTATTATCAATAAGCTCTAAATAACACAAAATATTAGAGCACATAAAGGAATGGCTTTATTTATTTATTCATTCATTCATTTTTTGAGACAGAGTCTCACTGTCACCCAGGCTGGAATGTAGTGGCACAATCTCAGCTTACTACAAGCTCCGCCTCCCGGGTTCAAGTGATTCTCCTGCCTCAGCCTCCTGAGTAGCTGGGACTATAGACGTGCACCACCATGCCCGGCTAATTTTTGTACTTTTTTTTGTTTTTGTTTTTGTTTTTTTGAGACGGAGTCTCGCTCTGTCCCCCAGGCTGGAGTGTAGTGGCCGGATCTCAGCTCACTGCAAGCTCCGCCTCCCAGGTTTACGCCATTCTCCTGCCTCAGCCTCCTGAGTAGCTGGGACTACAGGCACCTGGCACCCCGCCCCGCTAGTTTTTTGTATTTTTTTTAGTAGAGACGGGGTTTCACTCCTGACCTTGTGATCCGCCCGTCTCGGCCTCCCAAAGTGCTGGGATTACAGGCTTGAGCTACCGCGCCCGGCCTAATTTTTGTATTTTTAGTAGAGACGGGGTTTCACCATATTGGCCAGGCTGGGCTCAAACTCCTGACCTTGTGATCAACCCCCACCTTGGCCTCCCAAAGTGCTGGGATTACAGATGTGAGCCACTGCGCCTGGTAGCTTCTTTTATTTTTATGTTTGGTGTGTGAAAAGACTGAATTTTTAAAAATTCTACTATTCCAATGTCATCTAAACTCTGTTAAGTTTTGAAGTGACTGATGGGGAATGGAAGAGGTCAAATAGCTTAGTAGTGACTCCACCTGAGCAAGTTACTTAATCTTTTTTGTTCCCCTCATTCTGTGTAAAGGGGATAATAACAGAGCAATTGCCCTAGCATCTGGCACATGATAATAGTTAGCATTTATGTCTCTCAAGTGAAGCCTTCATAGTAGCATTTTTGAGTTTTCATATTTGACTTTGATTATAAGTCTACTCTTCCTAATACCTCTTAGCTATACTCCCACTTAGATACACAAAAGAGTGAAATAAATTTGATACTAATTTACTAATGCAAACAAGTGGGTCCTCTGCATTCACATGTATAACAGAACTTTAGACTCTTCTTAAGCAACCCTAGCAACCCTAGGTAGTCACAGATTTTTGTTTATTTGTTTATTTATTTATTTTAGAGACAGAGTCTTGCTCTGTCGCCCAGGCTGGAGTGCAGTGGCATGATCTCGGCTCACTGCAAGCTCTGCCTCCCGGGTTCAAGTGATTCTCGTGCCTCAGCCTCCTGAGTAGCTGGGATTACAGGCACCCGCCACCACGCCCAGCTAATTTTTTGTATTTTTAGTAGAGACGGGGTTTCACCGTGTTAGCCAGGATGGTCTCGATCTCCTGACCTCGTGATCCGCCCACCTCAGCCTCCCAAAGTGCTGGGATTACAGGCATGAGCCACTGCACCTGGCCTGTTTATTTGTTTTAATTTTGTTGTGCCAGAGGGCCAATGAGTATTGGATAGTCTGCTCACTCACCAATAGGGACTCAAATGCTGCATGAATGCTTCTTAAAAGATCATACTATAAAAAGAAAGGTTTACTATATCCTTCAAGACATGACAGACTTGAAGAATTGGTCTATTTCTCAAAAAGGTGACATTTATAAGTTGAGCTAGATAAGTAACAACATACGAAAATTATTTCTTACCTTAACAAGAGCTAAAACATGTCAAACATATCACATACAATTCTTCCATTAGATAGTTATCCAGTTGGCAGCTTTTTTGAATACTTATGGACAGGGCACTGATCTAATCATTTATGTGAACTAATTTATTTAACCATTAATAATAACATGATGAATATGTTCCAATAATGCAGAATACCAGAAAACTGTAGTTTTAGCATAAAAGTTTTTTTTTTTTTTTTTTTTTTGAGACAGAGTCTCGCTCTGTCTCTCTGGCTGGAGTGCAGTGGCACAATCTTGGCTCACTGCAAGCTCCACCTCCCGGGTTTTAAGCCATTCTCCTGCCTCAGCCTCCCGAGTAGCTGGGACTACAGGCGTGCACCATCTACGGCCGGCTGTGCACCACCTACACCTGGTTAATTTTTTTTTTGGTATTTTTAATAGAGACGGGGTTTCACCATGTTAGCCAGGATGGCCTTCATCTCCTGACCTCATGATCTGCCCACCTCCGCCTCCCAAAGTGCTGGAATTACAGGCGTGAGCCACCGCGCCCAGCTAGCATAAAAGTTTTTATAAGTTCTAACTAAAATAGTGGAGTCATATAAAGTTCTTAACATTAAAAGCACTTCTTATTTAAGGTTCAATATTCACTTGCCAACTGAAAAACATTGCTAAATTATTCCACAGATGTTCAGGCCATTCTGAAAAAACATCAGAATAGAGTGAAAAAACTCTTGATGCACCAAAGCAACTTTAACAAGCTGTGATCGTCCTTCTCACATCCTAAAATACCTGGCCATTAATATTTGAAGAGGGGAAAGCCACAGGATAAAGCATGCCTATGATATGCATCATGCCTAGTTCTCTAGAAGAAAAAGAAAAGAAGAAGATGAAATCCTTGGAAAGAGGGAAAAGTAACTCAATGTGAGATTTGTGGGAGGTGAGGGGGGGAATTCAAAGATTGAAACAGATAATAAAAATATCTAATCTTTTATATTTGTTGAAGCAAAAAAATCCAGAAAACAAACAACAAAAACAAACAACAAATGAACGAATTAGCCGTTTAGACCAGCCATCTTACCTGAAGAGTCCTTGTTTAAAAAGATAAGCACTAATATGACCCCCTTCTAAGTATCGGATCTCACAACCAGGCCAAATTTCTTGTAAACTTCGAACTCCTGTTCGTGGAATATAGGCATCTTCTTTGGCTTGAACCACTATAATGAGGCTTGGATCAACTGGTACTAGGTATAGGATTTTAAAAAATTCAACATATACACATTAGAAAATAAAAAACACCACACAATGTAGTAAATAAAACATTCATCAAACTAAACATTTTTTTTTTTTTTGAGATGGAGTCTCACTCAGTCGCCCAGGTTGCAGTGCAGTGGCGCGATCTCGGCTCACTGCAAGCTCCGCCTCCCGGGTTCACGCCATTCTCCTGCCTCAACCTCCCGAGTAGCTGGGACTACAGGCACCCACCACCACGCCCGGCTAATTTTTTGCATTTTTAGTAGAGACGGGGTTTCACCGTGTTAGCCAGGATGGTTTCGATCTCCTGACCTCGTGATCCACCCGCCTCGGCCTCCCAAAGTGCTGGGATTACAGGCGTGAGCCACCATGCCCGGCCTAAACATTTTTGATTAAGTTAAAAATCAACTATAATAGGCTACATTACTCATCTCCAGTACGAGATAAACATTCTAAAAATGATACAAAATACTGTGGTTTTTAAAAATTAACTAATTCTTTCTTTTGTGTGTGTGTAGGTACACAGTATATTATGGGTTACATGATGTAAGATATTTTGATACTGGCATGCAATGCATAATAATCACATCAGAGTACATGAGGTATGCATCACCTCAATAATTTATTTTAAAGATGGGATCTCACTATGTTGCCCAGGCTGAAGTGCAGTGGCTATTTACCGGCAAGATCATAGTGCACTACAGCCTTGAACTCCTGGGCTCAGGTGATCCTCCCTCCTTAACTTCCTGAGTAGCTGAGACTACAGGTGAATGCCACCACACTCAGCAATCTAGTGGTTTTTTTTTTGTTGCTTTTTTTTTTTGGGAGACAAGAGTTTCACTTTGTCACTGAGGCTAGGGTGCAGTGGTGCAATCATAGCTCACTGCCACCTTGAATTCCTGGGCTCAAAGGATCCTCCTGCCTCAGCCTCTGAGTAGCTGGGACAATAAGCATGTGCCACCACCCCCAGCTAATTTATTTATTTATTGTATTATTATTTTTTGAGATGGAGTCTCACTCTGGTCCCCCAGGCTGGAGTGCAATGGCACGATCTTGGCTCACCGAAATCTCCGCCTCCTGGGTTCAAGTGATTCTCCTGCCTTAGCCTCCTGAGTAGCTGGGATTACAGGCGCCTGCCACCACGCCCGGCTAATTTTTGAATTTTTAGTAGAGACGGGGTTTCACCATGTTGGCCAGGCTGGTCTCGAACTCCTGACCTCAGGTGATCTGCCCGCCTCGGCCTCCCAAAGTGCTGGGATTACAGGCTTGAGCCACTGCGCCCAGCCTATTTATTTTTGAGATGGTGTCTTGCTCTGTCACTCAGGCTGGAGTGCAGTGGAACGATCTCTGCTCACTGCAACCTCTACCTCCCGGGTTCAAGTGATTCTCCTGCCTCAGCATCCTGAGTAGCTGGGATTACAGGCGCCTGCCACCATGCCCAGCTAATTTTTGTATTTTAAGTAGAGATGGGGTTTCACCATGTTGGCTAGGATGGTCTCAAACTCCTGACCTCAAGTGATCCATCCGCCTCGGCCTCCCAAAATGCTGGGATTACAGGCGTGAGCCACTGGGCCTGGCCACCCAGCTAATTTTTACATTTTTTGTAGGGATAGGGTCTCACTATGTTGCCCGGGCTGGTGTCAAACTCCTGGGCTTAAGCGGTCCTCCCACCACAGCCTCCCAAAGTGCTAGGATTATAGACGTGAGCCATTGTGTCCAGCTCCAGAGTGTGTGTTTGTGTGTCTGTGTGACAGAGTCTTGCTCTGTCACCCAGGATGGAGTGCAATGGTGTGATCTTGGCTCACTGCAACCTCTATCTCCTTGGGCTGAAGTGATCCTCCCACTTCAGCCTCCCAGGTAGTTGGAACTACAGGCATGCACCACCACACATGACTACTTTTTCGTAATTTTTTTTGGTAGAGACAGGGTTTTACCATGTTACCCAGGCTGGTCTTGAACTCCTGGGCTCAAGCAATCCACCTGCCTCAGCCTCCCAAAATGCTGGGATTACAGGCATGAGCCACCATGCCCGGCTGTCCAGTGTGTTTTTTAATGAGTAAGATAATCTTAAATTTTCATAGATAGAATATGATACATTTAAGTAAAGCAACTTATCTTTGCAAACATATTCTGGAGCCAACAAAAAAATATACCCTTGAAATATATAAAATTATCTTATAAAGCATCCTTTAAAATGTTTCACAAATATTTACACATCAGCAAATATTCTCAATTTCATATAAAAATTAGTACCTGAGAAATTTGCTACATGAGTACATTCATCCATGACACCTTTCATAAATATTAAAGATTCTTTCCGAAGATTGTTTCTTCTTTGTTCTTTACTAAGTAGGTGGTATGACTGAGGGTTGCAACTTGTATAACTACTTTTGTTGGTTGAAAGTGTTTGACTGAAGCACTTCATCTTAGAGGTATCTTGCAATAAGAGTCCTTCTGATGTTGCACTGACAGATGTTTTACTAGAATTATGGCAGTCAGCAGGTTTTTGGGATACAACTTGGTTTGTTATATCTAAATTTAAAGTTCTGGAAACCAGATTAAGGTTAGTTAGCTTGTCTGCACTGCTAGTGAAGCATTTCACAAACTCTTGTCCCATTTTGAAAGAATCTGTCTGAACATATGAAAGAAAACATTATTTAATATAAAATAGGGTTTTATTAACAACTTTGTCAAAAAAAAAAAAAAGAGAAAAGACAAATGTCCATCAGTGAATAAATGGATAAACAAAATGTGGTACATTCAAACCATTAAATATTATTCAGTCTTAAAAGGAATGAAATTCTGACACATGCTACAACATGGATGAACACTGAAGACATTAAGTGAATAAGCCAGACACAAAAGGAGAAATACTGTATGATTCCACTCATATGAGGTCCCTATAGCTGTAAAATTCATAGCAATGAAAAGAGAATGGCAGCTGCCAGAGACTGGGAGAAGGGAGGAATGAGTAGTTTTGTTCAATGGGTAAGTTTCAGTTTGAAAAGATAAAAACGTTTTGGAGATAGATGGTGGTGATGATTGCACAACATGTATATACTTAATGCCACTGAACTATACACTTAAAAATGGTCACGATAGTAAATTTTATGTTGTATATATTTACCATAATTTTTTTTTTTTTTGAGATGGAGTCTTGCACTGTCCCCCAGGCTGGAGTGCAGTGGCGCAATCTCGGCTCACTGCAAGCTCCTCCTCCCGGGTTCCTGCCATTCTCCTGCCTCAGCCTCCCGAGCATCTGGGACCACAGGCGCCCGCCACGACACCCGGCTAATATTTTGTATTAGCCAGGATGGTCTTGATCTCCTGACCTAGTGATCCACCCGCCTCAGCCTCCCAAAGTGCTGGGATTACAGGCGTGAGCCACCGTGCCCGGCCTCATAATTTTTTTTAAAAAAGAAAGAGGTATCAAAATTTAACTCAGGACTAAGATAAATGACTTACACTTTATTGCTGTTTCCTACTTAACAGTAAAGGGTATCATTTAGCCTGCATCATTTTTTTTTTTTTTTTTTACAGCCAAAGTTTTGAAATCCATGATCTGCCTTAACCTTTGAACTTCTTTTTTTTTTTTTTTTTTTTTTTTTGAGACGGAGTCTTGCCCTGTCGCCCAGGCTGGAGTGCAGTGGCCAGATCTCAGCTCACTGCAAGCTCCGCCTCCCGGGTTTACACCATTCTCCTGCCTCAGCCTCCCGAGTAGCTGGGACTACAGGCGCCCGCCACCTCGCCCGGCTAGTTTTTTGTATTTTTTTTTAGTAGAGACGGGGTTTCACCGTGTTAGCCAGGATGGTCTCGATCTCCTGACCTTGCGATCCACCCGTCTCGGCCTCCCAAAGTGCTGGGATTACAGGCTTGAGCCACCGCACCCGGCCTAACCTTTGAACTTCTAAAAGTCTTACAAATGAGTAACGTAAATTCAAACAGAAGAGGACACCAGCTTCCCCAAGTCCCTTTCTCTGGTTGAACTAACCAGAATTAAAAATTATTGGCTGGGCGTGGTAGCTCACGCCTGTAATCCCAGCACTTTGGGAGGCTGAGGCGGGCAGATCATGATGTCACGAGATCAACACCATCCTGGCCAACATGGCAAAACCCTGTCTCTAATAAAAATACAAAAATTAGCCGGGCACGGTGGTGTGTGCCTGTTATCCCAGCTACTTAGGAGGCTGAGGCAGGAGAATCACTTAAATCTGGGAGGCAGTGGTTGCAGTGGGTTGATATTGTGCCACTGCACTCCAGCCTGGGTGTCTCAAAAAAAAAAAAAAAAAAAAAAAAAAAATCAAGAAAAAAAAGAAATATTGCCTATTAAAGTCTCAAAACTGTATTCTAAGTTTAAGGACTTGTAAATACAGTTATGTGTTGTTTAATGATGGGATATGTTCTGAGAAATGCATCATTAGGTGGTTTCATTGTTGTGTGAACATCACTGTGTATTTACATAAACCTAGATGGTATAGCTGACTACACACCTAAGCTATATGGTGTAATCTATTGTTCCTAGGTTACTAACCTATACAACATGTTACTGTACTTAATACTGTAGGCAACTGTAACACAATTGTAAGTATTTGTATATCTAATCATAGAAAAGGTACAGTAGGCCAGGCACGGTGGCTCATGCCTGTAATCTCAGCCCTTTGGGAGGCCGAGGGTGGGTTGATTGCTTGAGGTCAGGAGTTCCAAGACTAGCCTGGCCAACATAGTGAAACCTTGTCTCTACTAAAATATAAAAATTAGCCAGGTGTGATGATGGGTACCTGTAATCCCACCTACTTGGGAGGCTGAGGCAGGAGAATCATCTGAACCCAGGAGGTGGAGGTTACAGTGAGTAGAGACTGTGCCACTGCACTCCAGCCTGGGTGACAGAGCAAGACTCCATCTCAAAAAAAAAAGAAAGAAAGAAAACGAAAAAGAAAAGGTATCATAAAAATATCGTATTAAAATCTTTTGGGCCACCTTATATATGTGACTGAAGCATTGTTATGCAGAACATGACTGTACAATGTAAGTAAATAATATATGAGGTAAGTGTCTCCCTATAAAAGTATTCAAACTAATACATGAAAAAGAAGTAATAGAATATCAGCAACCATCAATGTATTGATACAGTCATTAAGCATCAGTAGAGGCTTACATCATAAAAAAAGAGAAAATCAGATATTATGTGTTTCCTATAGCCTTGTGAAAGAAATCAAAACAATGAGTTTAATCAAGCCTTTATCTAGATCCAACTGCCAATTTTCAGGCAATGTAGAGTAAAATGCTGAACTGTACCATGCGAACACAAACAGAAAAATCTAGATTGTGAGACACCTACAGGTCAAATAACCTAAATTCTTCATGAAATAAATTATAAGGAACATAAAGGGATGCAGGGCAACTTATTTCTTTTCTTTTTTTACAGATTGATTGATTGATTGATTATTATTATACTTTAAGTTCCAGGGTACATGTGCACAACGTGCAGGTTTGATACATAGGCATACACGTGCCATGTTGGTTTGCTGCACCCATCAACTTGTCATTTATATTAAGTATTTCTCCTAACGGTATCCATCCCCCAACCCCCCACCCCCCGACAGGCCCCAGTGTGTGATGTTCCCCGCCCTGCCCTGTGTCCAAGTGTTCTCATTGTTCAATTCCCACTTGTGAGTGAGAACATGTGGTGTTTGGTTTTCTGTCAGAAGGCAACTTATTAAAGGCACTTCAAAAAAAGAACTATAGGGTCTACAGATACACATTTGGATAATAAAATTATTTTAAAAGCAGAAGGAATAAACATAAGGATAATGATTACTAATAATGCAGGAAGGAAGGCTTTGTGATTAGGACACATTTGAAGGGGTTTCTGGTTTGGGTGGTCAAGTTTTATTTTTGACCTAGGTAGTAGTTACAGTGTGTTTGCCTTTTAATAAATGTAGTAAACCACATATATGCTTTGCATGATTCTCTGTATCTGTGTTTTATTTTAAAATAATTTTTATTTGTTTATTTTTAAGAAAGAGTCTCACTCTGTCACCCAGGCTGGAGTGCAGTGGCACAGTCTTGGTTCACTGCAACCTACAACTCCCAAGTTCAAGAGATTCTCCTGCCTTAGCCTCCTGAATAGCTAGGATTACAGGCATCCAACAACACATGCGGTTAATTTTTCTATTTTTACAGAGATGGTGTTTAGAGATGGGTTTGGCTGGGCTAGTCTCAAACTCCTGACCTCAAGTGATCAACCCACTTCGGGCATCCCAAGGTGCTCGGATTACAGATGTCACTCACCATGCCCGGGAAAAAATGAAAAATTTTTGAAGTTAAAAAATAGTATGTACGGCTAGCTATGTTTTTAAAAATTTGCTATTCTCTTTAAAAACCTGAATCATTAAATATACAATCAACTCCCCCCTCCACCAATGTTGGGTGGAAAGTGAAATACTTACTCCACAGTATTCAAGCATGTGAATAATTTCTTCTTCATAAACTGTCTGGGTATAATATTGCTTTTCCAGCTCCCGCCAATTAATTGATTTACTCAACACACCCTGAAATAATAAGCTAAATTAAGATCAAACCACATCATAAGGCAATTTGCCCAATACTTTTATTATTATTACTGTGTGAGACTACCTATCTTTTTTTTTTTTTTTGGCAGACGAAGTCTCACTCTGTTGCCTGGGCTGGAGTGCAATGGCACTATCTCAGCTCACTGCAACCTCCGCCTTCCGGGTTCAAGTGATTCTCCTGCCTCTGCCTCCCAAGTAGCTGAGACTACAGGCATGTGCCACCATGCCCAGCTAATTTTTGTATTTTTAGTAGAGACAGAGTTTCACCAAGTTGTCCAGGCTGATCTCGAACTTCTGACCTCAGGTGGTCCACCAGCCTCAGCCTCCCAAAGTGCTAGGATTACAGGTGTGAGCCACCGCTCCCGGCCTGAGACTGCCTATCTTTCGCCTGCGTGTAAGGTTGGCCCTTAACTAGAGTCTGGGAAATTGACCAATAAACAGCTTTCTATACTTATATAAAACTTTTCCTAAAAGATAAGACTGTGTCACTGTATCTAAACTGCTTATATGAACAATGCAGTTTCTGCTGAACACCTGCTTTCCTTCTGAATTTTTGGTGCATGCTAGGCAGAAGTTATCCAAGTCACTAACCCTTGATAAAAACTCTGGACTGCAAGGCTCAGGGGAGCTTCACTGATGGACAGCGCTTTGCACTTACTGTCAATAATTATTGCTGGAAGAATTAAGCATGAACTGTAACACTCCATTAGGAGAGGAATCTCGGAAGCTTGTTCTTGGTTTCTTTTGTTGTAGTTAAGCCTTAATCATGATTACGACTATATCATCATACGACTCAGGAGTCCTATAATTCCTTCCATGAATCACCAAAGCTGAGGGTGGTTTTGGGGACCCCCAAAACAATTACCTCTAATTATATATAGCTACCTAATATTAATTACAATTAAATTACCGTAGTGAAGACCCCAGATGCTGTGGACCAAGACAGGCATGGAATCAATGGCATGGGCTTAGGCCAGTTGGATACCGCTAAGGAAGCCATCTGTAATATAACAGATAGTTTAGAGAGCTTCTGTAGAGTTTCTATTCAGTAAAATAAAAATATTTAATATTAATAAGCATTCAGTGCAGTAAGTTGGTCAGATAAACACAAAGTCTGCAAACATTTGTGAGACTGTCTAGCAACCTCATTAAACTTCCCAAATCAAAAATTCAACAACATTTAATTTCCCCCTTAGAAAGCAATAAAATGTAATAGAAAACTTTAAGTAACCTCAAGACCATTCACTGAGAGCTACTTTCTACTGTGTAAATATGGAGCAAAGATGCCGAGATGTAGATGCTGGGCAGCAGGATAAACACACTCATTACTTAAGTGACTTACTCAGATACAGCAAAATCACAACTATAAAACAGACCATTGAGGTGGACTGAGTATGCAAAGAATTTGGGAAACCACAAAGCAGATTATATAATAGATATAAAATAATGTAATGGTGTGTGATTAGAGAAGGGAAAATTACTCTCCCTTTTGGAGAAGGGAGAACTTTATCTTCTGGAAAAGTTACTTTCCCTTCTGGGCTGGAGGAATCAGAAGGGAAAGGCAGGCTTCATGAAATGGGTGAGTCTTCTAGAGGAATGAAAGATAGGGTCTTGTCTTCCATAGAAATAAATCAGTATGATCAAAGGCAAGATGGTGAGAATGCACAGGGTCTCATAGGGAAATAACCAATATGCTTCAGTTGGGATGGTCAATAGGCACATGTGGCCAATGGAGTGAGGGAGATATGTAGGGCTAGAAAGATTGATCAGGATCAGATTAGAGGTCCTTTGTTCTATAGATAATCGAGAATTAATAAAGAGGTCTGAGCAAAGGAGTAGTATTGTCAAAGAAGTGATTCAAAGAAGGTAACATGATAGTAGTTTACACGACTGAATAGAGAAGGGGAGAGTTGAGGTAGGAAGACCAGTTAATAGAGAGTAATCCAGGTGAAAGTTATAAGGACCTGACCTAGGTGATAACAATGGAAACACTACTAGGTAGGAATATAAATCCTTTTCCATCTTCTGTTTCACTGTCAGGTAGTTGTTTTGAATTTTTCTTTTTTTTTTGAGATGGAGTCTTGCTCTGTTGCTCAGGTTGGAGTGCAGTGGCGCAATCTCAGCTCACTGCAACTTCCGCTTCCCAGGTTCAAGCGATTCTCCTGCCTCAGCCTCCTGAGTAGCTGGGATTACAGGCGTGTGCCACCACACCTGGCTAATTTTTGCATTTTTAGTAGAGATGGGGTTTTACCATGTTGGTCTGACTGGTCTTGAACTCCTGACCTCAGGTGATGTGCCTGCCTCAGCATCCCGAAGTGCTGGGATTACAGGTGTGAACCACTGCGCCCAGTGTAGTTTTAAATTTGAGTGTTTTTGAACTTAATTTCAAATTCAAGAGAAATATAGAAACTTCATATAATAATAATTATTATTATTATTTTGAGATAGAATCTCACTTCTATCTGGGTCACCTAATCTGGAGTGCAGTGGTATGATCACAGCTCACTGCAGACTCAAACTCGGGGGCTCCCCCTCAGCCTCCCATGTAGCCACAACTACAGAGATGTGCCACCATGCCTAATTTTTTAAACAATTTTTTTGTAGAGACAGGATCTTACTACTATGTTGCCTAGGTTGGGGTATGATTATTTTTTAGGCCAGGTGCAGTGGCTCATACCTATAATCCTAAAACTTTGGGAGGCCAACCTGTGTGGATCACTTGAGCCCACACACAAACAAAATACTAATAATTTTTAAAAAATGTACTGAGTGACTAATATGTGCCATGTAATAAATCAGAGCATATTCCTGGCCCTCTATGTCTCAACTGCTTCATGGAGAAAACAGACTGCTGAACAAGTCAGTAAAGTACAGTAAAAAGTTACTAATGAGAGTTTCAAGTATAGTCTGGAGGTAAGGCTGGGTGTCACAGCTGAAACAGAAGGATAAGCTATTACTCAGCTAGGTGAAAGGGAATAAGGGAGCACTAGAGGGATGCTAGCATGTGACACAGCTGGAGCCCAGTGTGCACACAAGCTTTTGGCAGGTTTTGAACAAGACAGAACAAAGACAAGACTTAGAAAGATCACTGTAGTTAGGGTGTGGAGGAGAAATGGTTAAGGAAAAGATCAATAAGAGGCTGGGCTTGGTGGCTCATGCCCGTAATCCCAGCACTTCGGGAGGCTGAGACGGGTGGATCATGAGGTCAGGAGATCGAGACCATCCTGGCTAACATGGTGAAACCCCGTCTCTACTAAAAATACAAAAAATTAGCCGGGTGGTGATGGGCACCTGTAGTCCCAGCTACTCGGGAGGCTGAGGCAGGAGAATGGCATGAACCCAGGAGGCAGAGCTTGCAGTGATCCAAGATCAAGCCACTGCATTCCAGCCTGGGCAACAGAGCAAGACTCCGTCTCAAAAAAAAAAAAAAAAAAAAAAAAGAAAAAGATTAATAAAAGACTAGAGACAGAAAAGCAATTAGGAATCCATTTTAGTACACTCTAAAAGGCAGACAAAAAGTAAAATAGGTTGGTGGTACTAGGGAGATAGATAAATGGAAAGTATTTTCCAATTCACCTATCTTGACCAATGTAACAGCAAAATTGGGCATTTATACTTGAGACTTGAAAAGTTAAATTTTATAATTAATTTGTAATAAAATATTAAATCTAATACCTGAGATACAACTGTGGAACAGTACAGTGTCTATATAAATCATGCAAAAAATTAACATCATTACTTCATAATTGGAATAAGAGTTTGGAATCTGTTTCTGCTTCCTACTTTTACCAAAACTAATTCTATACCTAAAGTGAATTTTTAAAATAACCAGGTTCTCTAGATCTTATAAACATAAACATAATTAAATGTAAGCAGAAATAAAAAGGCTTACGTGTCCTCCCATGGATATTCCAGTCATTCCTAAAGGGCCGTAACCTTCCCTCTCTAGCCAGTGCAAGAGAGCTGCAGATTCTAAAACAAGAGCTCCTCCCATCACAAAAAGGTCAGACACATTTTTTAAGCTGGACCTCCTACCCTCACAAAACAAAATAGAAAATGATTATTTTATGTATTTACATGCTAATATGTGCAAATTTACAACAGGCTGCCAGACTTCATGTATTTCTTTTAAAGGACCAGATAGTTAGGTAAAACAATGTAATAAATTGGAATTAGGGCCAGGTGTGGTGGCTCACACCTGTAATCCCAGCACTTTGGGAGGCTGAGGCAGGGGGATCACTTGAGGTCAGGAGTTCAAGACAAGACTGGGCAACATGGTGAAACCTTGTCTTTACTAAAAATACAAAAATTAGCAGGGCATGGTGGCGCATGCCTGTGATCTCAGCTACGTGGAAAACTGAGGCATGAAAATCGCTTGAACCTGGGAGGTAGAGGCTGCAGTGAGCTGAGATTGCACCACTGTACTACAGCCTGGGCAACAGAGTGAGACCTTGTCTCAAAAAAAGAAAAAAGAAAAAGGAATTAGACAGCTGCTAACATTGGATTACACATCAAATCACCTAAAACTTAACAAAAATTGTGTTCCTGTTCTATAGCACATAATCTTTACTGAAATTATTATAATAGAATTTAAAGCATAACTTTTTTTTTTCTTTGAGACAGTGTTGCTCTGTTGCCCAGGCTGGAGTGCAGTGTCATGATCTTGGCTCACTGCAGCCTCCACCTCCTGGGTTCAAGCGATTCTCCTGTCTCAGCCTCCTGAGTAGCTGGGATTACAGGCGTGTGCCACCACGCCTGGCTAATTTTTGTATTTTTAGCAGAGACAGGGTTTCGCCATGTTGGCCAGACTGGTCTTGAATTCCTGAGCTCAAGTGATCCGCCTGCCTTGGCCTCCCAAAGTGCTGGGATTCCAGGTGTGAGCCACCACGCCCAGGCTTAAAGCATAACTTTTATTTTATTTTATTTATTTTTTTGAGATGGAGCTAGGCTGGAGTGCAGTGGCATGATCTCGGCTCACTTCACTCCCGGGTTCAGGCCATTCTCCTGCCTCAGCCTCCCAAGTAGCTGGGACTACAGGCGCCTGCAACCACACCCAGCTAATTTTTTGTATTTTTAGTAGAGACGGGGTTTCATCATGTTAGCCAGGATGGTCTTGATCTCCTGACCTTGTGGTCTTGATCTCCTGACCTCGTGATCTGCCCACCTTGGCCTCCCAAAGTGCTGGCAGGATTACAGGCAAGAGCCACTGCGCCTGGCCAAGCATAACTTTTAAAAAAGGCAACATAAATAAAGAATTTAACCAAACACTAGGCTCATGTATTACTGAAATCTTAAATATGTTGCTTATTTTCACAAAATACACAATTTATGAATATAATAAAATATAAAACAAATACGTTTTTATAAATATACATGTTTTAAATAAAGACCAATTCAACTGGAATTTCATTTTTAGAAGCTAATTTTACACAGAAGTATATTTCCTTATAAAAAGTACTTAAGCTGGGCGCAGTGGCTCACACCTGTAATCCCAATACTTTGGGAGGCCAAGGCGGGCAGATCACGAGGTCAGGTGTTCGAGACCAGCCTGACCAACAGGGTAAAACCCTGTCTCTACTAAAAATACAAAAATTAGCCAGGTGTGGTGGCGCGTGCCTGTAATCTCAGCTACTCAGGAGGCTGAGGCAGGAGAATCGCTTGAGCCCAGGAGGTGGAGGTTACAGTGAGCCAGACATCATGCCACTGCACTCCAGCCTGGGTGACAGAGTGAGACTCCATCTCAAACAAAAACAAACAAACAAACAAAAGTATTTAAATATATCCTTTTGGGTCCTAGAACCATCCGTATACAGTGATTGAAATATATTTTATTTTATACTAAAATGACCAAATTAGAATCTATTTTTCAAAATGCAACTTGTATTAAGACACACATAACTGGTTACTGGATGAAACCTTGCCAAAGTTACAAAAATTCATTTTACCAATGATTATTTATCGTATGCCTACACATAATATGTGCAAAGAACCAGGTGCCAGAAGGAATGCCAAGCATGAAAAACAAAATCTTGGCTCCCAAAGACCTTACTGCCACTGTCCTACCAAGTTCTCTCGGAGCTCTAAGTCCAGAAGGTAGAGTTTCTGTTTATGGAAACTATGCTATCCTTCATCCAAACAGATCATAGTCATACTTCATCAGAAAAAAAATCCATTTATTCTTATCTTTGTTTCCTATCCTCAAGTCATTTTTCTATTTATGATTACACAATTTCCCCAACTTTTTCTTTTAGCCTTGTATGGGAGCCTTGAATTCTCAGGTCTCCCAGTTTGCTCTTTTAGAAGTTACTGATATGAAATTCTGGGACAGTGGTTATTTATAACGGTAGACTCGGTCTCAAATTGTTTCAGCATTTTTGCTGAAAACAGACTTAAGATGGCTTTTTAAAAAGAAAGAATGCGCAAGAGAGAAGTATCTGTGATTTAAATTGCAAACCATTTCTTTTTTCTTTGAGACTGGGTCTCACTCTCATTGCCCAGGCTGCAGTGAAGTGGCTTGATCATGGCTCACGGCAGCCTCGACTTCCCGGGCTCAGGTGATTCTCAACCTCAGCCTTCTGAGTAGCTGGGACTACAGGTGTGCACCACCATTTCTGGCTTTTTTTTTTGAGATGGAGTTTCGCGCTTGTCATCCAAGCTGGAGTGCAATGGGGTGATCTCGGCTCACTGCAAGCTCCGCCTCCTGGGTTCACGGCACTCTCCTGCCTCAGCCTCCCGAGTAGCTGGGACTACAGGCGCCTGCCACCAGGCCCGGCTTTTTTGTATTTTTAGTAGAGATGGGGTTTCAGGGTGTTAGCCAGGATGGTGTTGATCTCATGACTTTGTGATCTGCCCACCTTGGCTTCCCAAAGTGCTGGGATTATAGGCGTGAACCACCGCACCCCGCCCAGAACTTTTGATTTCCCTCCCACAACATCCAATTCATAAACAAGTCCTATTATTTAAACTTAAATATATCTTGAACCCAGGAAAACTTCTCTCCATTTCCACTGCTACCTAAAGTCACTACTCTTTCCTGCACCATTCCAATAGTTTCCTATTTGTTTTCTCTGTTGCTTTATTTATTTATTTATTTTATTTTTTGAGACGGAGTCTTCACTCTGTTGCCCAGGCTGGAGTGCAGTGGCATGATCTCTGCTCACTGCAAGCTCCGCCTCCCGGCTTCACGTGATTCTCCTGCCTCAGCCTCCCCAGCAGCTGGGACTACAGGCACCCGCCACCACCCCCGGCTAATTTTTTGTATTTTTCAGTAGAGACAGGGTTTCACCGTGTTAGCCAGGATGGCCTCGATCTCCTGACCTTGTGATCCACCCGCCTCGGCCTCCCAAAGTGCTGGGATTACAGGCGTGAGCCACGGCGCCCGGCTTGTTTTCTCTGTTGCTACTCTTGCCCCAGTAAACCAAAGTAGGTCTTAAAAAATATAAATCAGGCCACTCATCTGCTTGAAGTCCTCTAGACACTTCCCATTGCACTTTCAGATCATTCACATTCAAAGCATGATGGCCTTTCACAATCTGGTCCTTGTCTTTTTTTTTTTTTTTTTTTTTTAGACGGAGTCTTGTTCTGTGGTCTAGGCTGGAGTGCAGCGGCATGGTACTGGCTCACTGCAACCTCCGCCTCCTGGGTTCAGGTGATTCTCCCGCCTTGGCCTCCCCAGTAGCTGGGGCTATAGGTGCATACCACCACACCTGGCTAATTTTTTTATTTTTAGTAGAGACAGGGTTTTACCATGTTGGTCAGGCTGGTTTCGAACTACTGACCCCAAGTGACCCACCCACCTTGGACTCCCAAAGTGCTGGGATTATAGGTGTGAGCCACTGCACCCAGCCCTTGCCTATCTTTCTGACCTCATCTTGTACTACTCTCCCCTCCTGATGCTTACATGGGGCTTTTCATTTACTTTTCCTTCTCTGTGGCTGATCTTCTTCCAAGTCTTCATGCAGGTGGCTCCTTCTCATTATATTATGTTTTCATATATAATACTGTTACTACACTGCACCCCATATTACTCTTTATACAATTGCCCTGCTTTACTTCATTCATTGGGTATTGCTAAAAATCTGAAATCACCTTATTTATTGTTATCTATCTCCCACATTACAATACAAACTTTATGAGAAAATGTTGTCTTATTGTTGCAGTATTTCCAGGGTCTAGGTTCAAATATTTATTGAATAAACCAAACGAAACACAGTATAGATTATGGAAACGCCTTGAAGTTTATCATTTTAAAAGAATGAAAAGAGAAAGTTTATCTTCAGATTTTCTTTTTTTTTTTTTTTGAGACAGAGTCTTGCTCTGTCATCCAGGCTGGAGGGCAGTGGAGCGATCTCGGCTCACTGCAAGCTCCGCTTCCCGGGTTACGCGGTTCTCCTGCCTCAGCCTCCTGAGTAGCTGGGACTACAGGGGCCCGCCACCGCACCTGGCTAATTTCTTGTATTTTTAGTAGAGACGGGGTTTCACCGTGGTCTTGATATCCTGATCTTGTGATCCGCCTGCCTCGGCCTCCCAAAGTGCTGGGATTACAGGCGTGAGCCACCGCACCCGGCCTATCTTCAGATTTTCTATACTATTCATTGTAACAATAAAGTGTCTAATTACACAATGTAAATGTACCTTAAAAAGGAAAAGGTAGGCTGGGCACGGTGGCTGACGCCTGTAATCCCAGCACTTTGGGAGGCCAAGGTGGGCGGATCACTTGAGGTTAGGAGTTTGAGACCAGCCTGACCAACATGGTGAAAGCCCATCTCTACTAAACATACAAAAATTAGCCGGGTGTGGTGGTGCATGTCTATAATTCCAGCTACTTGGGAGGCTAAGACAGGAGAATCGCTCGAACGCCGGAGGCAGAGTTTGCAGTGAGCTGAGATCGCACCAGTGCACTCCAGCCTGGGCGATGGAATGACTCCGTCTCAAAAAAAAAAAAAAAGCAAAACAATAAAAACCAAAAAAGGAAAGGGTTTTATCATTTCTTCATTTACAGTTTCACAACTAAACTATATATTAAGTCTACCTATTAAAATTTTTTATTGTATTTCCTTAACAGACATTAAAATGCAAAAATCTTAAAAATAAAAATTAAAGTCAGTATTCATACTACAGTTTTACAACAGAACTCCCCCCATAATATTTAGATATTCAATTTAGAAATGGTTAACTGAAGGCAACCAAAATTTTAATACTGCTGGATATTTGGTAAAAAGACTGCAAAAATGAAGGTGATATATACTTACACTTGGTCCTTGGGTTTCCTGCAGCCATTTAAGAATGTGGGTCAAAGAGAAAGTTTTAAAATAATTAAATAATTTTGTTTGAGAGTACATTAAGTAGTTAAATTTTCTACAATTTAATACTGAAATAACTCCATTCTAATTCTCTTAAGTAGGCTGTTTAGTTCTTAAATTTTCAACTTAATTATTTTCCTTTTTATTAAAAAAACCCCCAGCTTTATTGATATCATCATATATCACATAATTCAGCCAATAAAGTATACCTATTAATGTTTTCAGTAAATTAACAGGGTTGTACAATCTTCAATTTAAATTTTAAATGAAGTTTATTGATTTTTTCATTTATATAATTTTTATTATAGAAAATCCAAAAAGTACTAAAAAGCAGATTAAAGAACAACTACTTAATCTACAGACAACCAGATTACATTTTGGTATATTTCTCTTTATGTACACTTTTTTTTTTTTTTTTTTTTTTTTTTTGAGGCATAATCTTGCTCTGTCGCCTAGGTTGGAGTGCAGGCAGCTCACTGCAACTTCTGCCTCTTGGATTCAAGCGATTCTCCTGCCTCAGCCTCCCAAGTAGCTGGGATTACAGGCGCATGCCACTATACCCAGCTAATTTTTGTATTTTCAGTAGAGATGGAGTTTTGCCATGTTGTCCAGGCTGGTCTCAAACTCCTGACCTCAGGTGATCCTCCTGCCTCGGTCTCCCAAAGTGCTGGGATTACAGGCGTTGAGCCACCGTGCCAGGCCAATGCACAGTTTTTGCTTTGGATTTTGTTTTTAGTTTTTTTGCATACCTGTGCCACACCATAGAGTCTATATCCTATTTTCTTTTCTTTTTTTTTTTTTGAGACAGAGTTTTACTCTTTTTGCCCAGGCTGGAGTGCAATGGCGTGATCTTGGCTCACTGCAACCTGTCCCCTGGATTCAAGTGATTCTCCTGCCTCAGCCTCCTGAGAAGTTGGGATTACAGGCATGTGCCAGCATGCCAGGTTAATTTTATATTTTTAGCAGAGATGGGGTTTCACCATGTTGGCCAGGCTAGTCTTGAACTCCTGACCTCAGATGATGTGCCCACTTCAGCCTCCCAAAGTGCTGGGATTACAGGCGTGAGCCACTGCACCTGGCCTATATCCTATTTTCACATCAGAAATACTTGTCATACATTATTGTAAACTTTTTAATAATAATAGTTAAAACTTACTGAATGCTTATTATTTATCAGGGACTGTTCTAGATAGTATTAATCATTTAATAACCTCAATAACCTAAGAGATTATTCCTATTTATCAATGAGAAAATTGAGGTATTAAAAGTTTATGTAATAGCCAAGGTCACAAAGGTAGTAAGCAGTAGAGAAATAAATATAACACAGGTAGAGAAATAAATGTAACACAAGCAATTGCATAAAATTCCAATATTATGAACCACAGTTTACATAACTATTTCTATTTTAGACACTGAGCTATTTCTAATGCTTTACTGTCTAAACTAAAGCTATACAAACATGTTTTTGTTATTTAATTATTTCTTAGTTTTTATCCTTAGAATAAATTTCCCAGAATCAAAATCATTTTGTCAAGGGATATGATGTTTCAAAGCTCCTGATACACATGGTAAAAAATGTTTTCCCAAAGGGTTGAACTAATTTTCCGTCATTAATAACAAGAGTGCCCATTTCAAAGCAGCCTCACCAGTACTGTGTTTTTTTCTTAAATAGTTGATCATTATTGTTTTAACTCTACATTTATTACCAGCAACGTTGGACATTTCTTTATATCTGTGCATCAGTTTCATTTCTTCTTCTGTGAATAGTCTGACGTCATCTTGAAAATTAAGTTAAGAACTGTCTAAACCTCAACTGATACTGTAAATGCATTTAAAACATGAGTGTTTCCTTAATAGTAAACATTTGACTTACTAATATTAAAAATCTAGCATAAGTCTCCCAAGAAATAGAAGTACAATTTCTTTACTGCACAATAGAAGTACAATCCTTATGTTAATTTTTAAGAGGCATGAAATAGTCTTTCTCTCCTTTTGATTATTGCTTCTTAAGTATTTTCTGAACTGATGACTAAATTTAACTGGTTTAGAAAACTTGGTTACTATCATTTATTTTGATGACTAACTATATTAATAAATAAACAAGGCAAAAGATTTCTTAGATATCACAAAAGGATATAATAAGGGTTTTCTAACAATAAAGAAGCCATTCGGGCTTCTTTAATCATAGGACGGGCCATTAGTGTTCGTCGCCTCCAGTAATGCTAAGGAAAGAAAAGAACACATACTCAAAAGAATACAGTAGCCACATCTGTTAAGGAGAACATGTTAACAAATTATCTGGAGATTAAGGCATTATAATAAAGTCTTACATGATCTCCTGTTCCAGCAAGATGAATGCATACAGGCCTATATTTGCTGTTCCATTCTTTAGGCACAATAAATTGGAACCTATTTTTAAAAGCAAAGACTTATCAATAAAATTCTCTTTAAAGGGCTTTCAATAAAAACTTTCAATTCTTAAAAATTTTACACAAATTATTTGAGAGAAAAGATCTGTCGAAATTTTAACATTCAAATTGTAATTAACTAAATTAAGTTGTCCAAACACTACAAAGATATTGTAAATCTGCTTTCTGTTAGGATATTAAAATATTAAATACAACATAAACACAGAATTTATTGTCACTATTCTTTACCTTGTTCAGTATCACAATTTTATAAATACATAAAGGAATTTTCTTATCTTGTAGAGACACCACCGTATATGAGTAAGTCTTAAAAGAAGTAACTATTAGCCGAGCGCAGTGGCTCATGCCTATAATCCCAGCAGTTTGGGAGGCTGAGGAAGGTGGATCACCTGAGGTTGGGAGTTCGAGACCAGCCTGACCAACATGGAAGAACCCTGTCTCTACTAAAAATACAAATAAAATTAGCCAGGTATGGTGGCGAATGCCTGTAATCCCAGCTACTCGGGAGGCTGAGGCAGGAGAAGCACTACAACCCAGGAGGCAGAGGTTGCAGTGAGCCAAGATCGTACCACCGCACTCCAGCCTGGGCGACACAGCGAGACTCCGTCTCAAAAAAAAAAAAAAAAAGAAAAAGAGAAAAAAGGAACAGAGTCTCGCTCTGTCACCCAGGCTGGAGTGCGGTGGCACGATCTCGGCTCACTGCAACCTCTGCCTCCCGACTTCAAGTGCTTCTCCTGCCTCAGCCTCCTGACTAGCTAGGACTACAGGTCCACGCCACTGTGCCTGGTTAATTTTTGTATTTTTAGCAAAGATGGCGTTTCACTATGTTGGCCAGACTGGTCTCAAACTTCTGACCTTGTGATCCACCCGCCCCAACCTCCCAAAGTTCTGGGATTACAGGTGTGAGACACCGTGCCCGGCCAAAAGAAATAACTCTTTAGATATAGCTCTGACTTTTCCTCTTTGCAAAAGAAATGCTTGGCTGTACAAGCTGTTGATGAATCAATAAAATAGTTTATGTTGTCTTTTTAAAAAACTTTTAGTATATGATAGAATCTGACTCATTAAAATGTTGATACTAACAAGTCAAGTCAATCCATGCCAGAAAACAAAAAACACAAATGCGCAGATAGTTTTCTCTATTTGTCTTTTTTTTTTTTTTTGAGACAGGGTATTGCTGTTACCTAGGATGGAGTGCTGCAGCATGATCACAGCTCACTGAAGCCTTAACTTCCTGGGCTCAAGTGATCCTCCCACTTTAGCCTCCCAAGTAGCTGGGATTACAGGTATCTGCTACCAAGCCCAGCTAATTTTTTATTTTTTGTAGACATGGGGTCTCGCTATGTTGCCTAGGCTGGTCTCAAACTCCTAGACTCAAGCGATCCTCCTGCCTTAGCCTCCCAAAGTGCTGGGATTACAGGCATGAGCCATTGCACCTGGCCTTTGTTTTTTTCTTAATTGTAGTATTTTGTTCCTCATTTAATGTTTTATGTTTTTTCTTTTAACCTGTATGACTTCTTTTTTTTTTAAACTGTGGTAGAATATACATATCATAAAATTTACAATTTTAACCATTATTATTTTTTTTTTAGAGACAAGGTCTCACTTTTTAGCCCAAGGTGGAGTGCAGTGACACAATTATGGCTCACTGCAGCCCAGACCTCCTGGGCTCAAGCAATCCTCCCACCTCAGCATCCCAAGCAGCTGGGACTACAGGCATGTGCTATCACACCTGACTAATTTCTTTCTTTCTTTCTTTTTTTTTTTTTTTTTTTGAGAGACGGAGTTTTGCTCTTGTTGCCCAGGCTGGAGTGCAATGGCGTGATCTCGGCTCACTGCAACTTCCGCCTCCCAGGTTCAGGCGATTCTCCTGCCTCAGCCTCCTGAGTAGCTGGGATTACAGGCATGCACCACCACACCCAGCTAATTTTGTATTTTAAGTAGAGATGCAGCTTCTCCATGTTAGTCAGGTTGGTCTTGAATGGCTAATTTCTTTTATTTTTTGAAGAGACAGAGTCTTCTTATGTTGCCCCAGATGATCTTGAACTCCTGGGTTGAAGTGATCCTCCTGACATGGCCTCCCGAATAACTGTGATTACGGACATGAGTCCCCACACCTGTCCGTTTTAACCATTTTTAAGTGTATGATTCAGTGGCATTAAGTACAGTAATGTTGTGCAACCATCACTACCATCTATCTTCAAAACATTTTCATCTTCCCAAACTCATTTCTCATTTTAATTTTCTTAGTAGTTTATATTTTAGAATTACTATCATAGGAAAAGACTGTACTGTCACCTGAAGGTTTGACCTGAGGTGACTAGATTCTCAAGCAACATAAAACCTCAATTCTGAGCTGAAAACTTTGCTTGGACAGAATGGGTAATATCACCACTTATCCACTGTCAATAAATTGCAGAATAGAACAAAGACAAATAAATTTAGGATGATTTAAGAATTATTTATGTTTTGTGCTCATGGGAACCTTTAATTTTCAGTTCCATAATGAGAATTGCCACTGTTAACTAACAGCTTTGCTTCATTTTGCATTCTGAGCATTGTCCTGTTTCCTGATATTTTAAAGATTTTGGGGAAATGAAAACATTTACAAATTTTTTCAGTAGAAAGCTGGACATCTCTGCTATTATTTGTACTTTCCTTTTGATCCACAGCAATGCATGTAGTGACTTCATTATTGGATAATAGCTTTAATAGGAATTTTTTATTGTAGTATTAACTAGCTACCCACCTAATTCGACTATCTTTTAACAGTCTTCCCCAGTGTCCCATGATGAATGGGTATAGGCCATGTGACTCCTCTGCCACAGCTGACTGGGCCAAGCATAAGCCAAGTTAGGGCAATGAGATTTGCTCTTTTGGTAATATGGAATTGGGACAGACTATAGTTAGATTCTGTTGAGCTTTTGGATATGAAAGCTTTTGGATATGGCACAACCCCGTCTCTATTAAAAACACAAAATTAGCTAGACATGGTGGCGAGTGCCTGTAATCCCAGCTACTTGGGAGACTGAGGCAGGAGAATCACTTGACTCTGGGAGGCCGAGGTTGCAGTCAGCCAAGATTGCAGGGCCACTCCATTCCAACCTGGGTGACAGAGCAAGACTCCATCTCAAAGGAAAAAAAAAAAAGAGAGCAATGGAGCCTTGCTCTGTCGCCCAGGCTGGAGTGCAATATCATAATCTTAGCTCACCACAACATCTGTCTCCCGGGTTCAAGTGATTCTCCTGCTTCAGCCTGCAGAGTAGCTGAGATTACAGGTGCTCACCACCATGCCCAGCTAATTTTTGCATTTTTAGTAGAAATGAGGTTTCAACATGTTGGCCAGGCTGGTCTCGAACTCCTGACCTCAGGCGATCCACCCGCATAGGTCTCCCGAAGTGCTAGGATTACAGGCGTGAGCCACCATGGCTGGCTCCAGCATGTTTCTAACAGGAATCTCAGAAAAGAATGGAGAGAAAACAGGAGAAAAAAAAGTGGCAAAAATAATAGATGAAAATTTATCTGTTTTTTTTCAAACTGAAAGGGTCTTCTAAGTGGCAGGCACAAAGAATTAAAAAAAAAAAAAACAAAAAAAACCCAAACCAAAACAACAACAACATCTAACCACTAAGGATACAGAAAAGACCACAAAAGTTTCTAGAGAAAAACAACTGGTTACCTACAAAAGTAGAAGAATCAAGTTGGTATCAAGTATTTCATCAATAATGCTGGAAGACAGAAAAAAACACACCAAAGCCTTCTAAATTCTGAAGGAAGTTATTCTGAACCAAGAATTACATGAGTAGGCAAGGGGTTAACTAAGTATGAGGGACAATAAAGTCATTTTTACATATGAATAACTCAGAAATTTACTATCTACAGAACCTCAAGGAAAAAAGTATCAGAAGCTATAAGGACAACACTAGCACATCAAAAAGTTATCCACTACAATCAAGTGGGCTTTTATTCCTGGGGTGCAAGATTGGTTCAATATATGCATATTAATAAAGGTTATTCACCACATAAACAGACTTTAAAAAAACCACATGATCATCTCAATAGATACAGAAAAGGCTTTTGATAAAATTCAACATAACTTCATGTTAAAAACTTTCAATAAATTAGGCATCAAAGGAAGATACCTCAAAATAAGAGCCATCTATGACAAACCCACAGCCAACACCATACTGAATAGGCAAAAGCTAGAAGCATTCCCCTTGAGAACTGAAACAAAACAAGGATTCCCATTCTCACTACCACTATTCAACACAGTATTGGAAATCCTAACCAGAACAATCAGGCAACAGAAAAAAATAAAAGGCATCCAAATAGAAACAGAGGAAGTCAATTATCTCTCTTTGCAGTCAATATAATGTTATACCTCAAAAACCCCATAGACTCTGCTAGAAGGCTCTCAGAACTAATAAATGACTTCAGTAAAGTTTCAAGATAGAGATAGAAGATTAATGTATAAAGCTCAGTAACATTTCCTTTTTTTTTTTTTTTTTTGAGACAGAGTCTCACTCTGTTGCCCAGGCTGGAGTGCAGTGACCAGATCTCAGCTCACTGCAAGCTGCGCCTCCCGGGTTCACACCATTCCCCTGCCTCAGCCTCCCAAGTAGCTGGGACTACAGGTGCCTGCCACCACGCCCGGCTAGTTTTTTTTTGTATTTTTTTAGTAGAGACAGGGTTTCACCATGTTAGCCAGCATGATCTCGATCTCCTTACCTCGTGATCTGCCCGTCTCAGCCTCCCAAAGTGCTGGGATTACAGGCTTGAGCCACTGCGCCCGGCCCGCTCAGTAACATTTCTATACACCAATAACATCCAAGCTGAAAGCCAAATCAAGAACACAATCTCATTTATAATAGCCACACAACAACACACACAGAAACCTAGGAATACAGCTTACCAAGGAGGTAAAAGATCTCTACAATGAGAATTACAAAACACTACTGAAAGAAATCAGAGACAACATAA